ATGGTCGTCGCTCCCGGGTTTCGGCACCACTTGTCGCGCGCACCTCGCCAGCAAGGAGCACGCAACACTCAGGATTCTTCTGATGCACGCTTTATTGGAGTTTCTTCTACATTCTTCAAAATGGCGGAAAGACCCCGAGCCGGATGCGAGCCTGCCTTTATAGTCATCCAGGTGACGTGGCCCATTTCTATTGGTCCATGCCGGCCTGCATCATTCTGACGAACCAAGCGCCTCATCTGCGCAGGCGTGAACCACCGTCACCGGCGGACTCACATCCGGAATTCATGCAGGGCATGAAGAACCCGGAAATAATGGCACGTGACATAGATCACCACAGTCTCAGGAGAACCAAGTGGAAACCCCTCAACCTCCTCATAATCCTCAAGCCAGTGCACATGCACCGCCCTCCCCCAGTAACGCAGAACCCCATTCATGGGTAGCTCTTCGGCGAGGCTGAGGACACCTTAAATGCCTCCCAGTGACCCCAAGGCCACATTAAGTCCTAAGGACATATGTGGAGTGGAGCTTCTTACTCTCCCAGGTCACAGCCTATCCTGCCTTGGGAGGTTACTGGGGCAGAAGGGATTGAGTCCAAGTCCTTCTTCAGTCAAACACATCAACAATGCAAGGAGCACTCAGGCTGATTTTCTGAGGAGCCTTCCGGGTTTGCAGATGAGCTCCATACGTTATCCCTAGCTTTTAACCTTTCGTGGTGACATATGCAGTTTGTTCTAGCTGCTTGTTGCACACTGGATGAAAAACAAAGACTCCTTGAGCAAGCAAGGTGATGCACAGAGCATCAGTTTGTGGTAGATACAAAGAGAAATCACCCAGGAGACGTTACTGTACCACATACTGATCCAAACTGGGGTTACTGTACTATAGGAGGACTAGAGATGAGTGCTAAGGTGGTAGCAGAAAACCTGTAAACTACAAAAAAAAAAAAAAAAAAAACCTGAGTAAACTACAAAAAGAGTGGGGGGGGGAGATTACCCAAGAAAAGGAAGAAAATCCAGCTGTCAGGTGCAAAGACCCGAGTTTGATCCCTGGTACAAAAAAAAAAAAAGAAAGAAAGAAAGAAAAAAAAAAAGAAAATCCAGCTGTCTTTCATAGCCAGCTAGAGGAAGCCTTCCCAAAGTATATCATCTTCACCCATCCTCTGAGGAGGGAAGGGCTCTCATGGGACATTCTATTAGGCAATCCACCCCAAATATCCAGCAGAAACCACAAAGACTTCAGCTGAAATCTCAAACCACTTTGGTCCAGTTGCTGGATATGGTCTGCTCCATGTTCAACAATCGGGATCAGAAAGAGGGCGAAAGAGGAAGGCACCAAGATCAGAGACAGGCAAAACTAATGGCCACTGCAAGCAGTAAAACTCTAAAGTCCAGATGGTCCAAGGAAAAACCTGAGAAAAGAGAAAGGGTTCTAGCTTCAAGTACAAAGATACTGACTTGTTGGGCCCTGAGCTCAAGAATGCTCACATCTACCCCTTGGACACTGTCCGGTGTTTCGAGATGCTGGTCTCAACCCATGGCATTGGAAGGTCCACTGCCCACATTCCCAGAGAGATGCAGCCAGCCATAACTTTAAATGCCAACCCAGTGGATGGGGATGGAAGGAGTCTGAGGAAATTCACAATGCTCCCATCAGAAAACACCTCCATCATCACTGAAGTACCCCAGGGAGCCTTGGACATTATGGGTAAGTAAATCTGTTTCCTTAGGTATGGGAATGGCTTACTAAGTTTTAACCTTTGGTCAACCATCTCTAGACCGATAGCCATAATGGGGAGAGAAGGGAGCCCCAATAAGCATTTCTTTACTCCATTTTGACGTAACAATTTGAAGGTCAAATATCAAGTCATGAACTTTTGGTTGTCCCACGATGTCCTATCCCTCTGTTGGGAAAAGATTTATTAAACTTGTAGCAAGGAGATGGAGATTTAGCTCAGTGGTTCCACTGCCTGCCTTGCAAGTGCAAGGTCCCGAGTTCGAGCCCCAGTACCAAAATATAAACATTAAAAATAAACTTATGGCCATCTTTTGTTTTTTATGGAAGTCAAAAAGGATTTTGCCTCTAAAAGATGTATACAACATCCCCAAAATGTTTAGCCAATAAGTGCTGGCTTTTTATAACAATGCTTTACTTATTTCTGTTCTTTTGTCTTCCAAAAGGCCTTCATGCAACCCCTTCGCCCCCTATAACCTCAGTGCTAGAAAATTTGTCCAGTTTCATTAACAAAAGAGCTTGCTGGTTTTGCCACAGACTGTTTCCAATCCACCGAAGTGGACGTGCAGACACGTCCTCTAAAAGCAGAGGGTTAGGCAAACCTACTCGGCTCTTTAGTGGGAATTTCATACACACTCTGTGATTAAACTATCCACAGTGGAATGGGAGAAAGACTTCAGCCTAAGTATCCTAACTGGCTGCCTTCTCCATCAGGCAATAGCTATGCGCCCTCAGAAAGAGTCCATCGCTGCTCTTAAGGCCACTCTCTGTTTCCCATGTTTTAAAGGCACTAGGCCTGTAACAGGATTTCTCAGTCT